TCTTCAACTTTCCTGCTCTTTGCCATTGCCAGGTCTTGTTGTTACCTGCTTTTCCTGCTAGTTTTTTTGTGTACTGGCCATGTAATACATTTCCTTGCCATGTCCCTTTTCTATTCTTCATTTGGTCTTTCTTATAAGCCAGTTTGGTTTCTTTCGTATTCAGTAAGCCTGCATGGTATACTAGTCTCAGTGTATCTTATTCATTGTCCTTCAGATATTCTTCCAATGCCCTTTTTTCTTCTTCGACTGTCTAGTGTTCTTGTAATATGTTGTTGTTCTTTCCAGAAATGGTGTATTCTTTTCAGATATTATTATCCAATGCAGATTAGAGTCCTGCATGGAAAGGGAGTTGCCATATATTCAAGCTAGTTTTATAAAAGGCCAAGGAACAAAAGGCATTATTGATGATGCGCACTGGATAATTAAGAAAGAATACCAAAAAGAAGTCAATATGTGTTTCATTGATTAAAGCAAGGCCTTCGATATATTGACTATGTCAAGCTGTGGAATGTCCTTAGGAAAAATGGGAAACTCAGAACATCTCATTGTCCTCATGAGAAACCTATACACAGGACAGGAAACCACAGGTTGGAAAGAACATGATGAAACAGGTTGGCAGAAGAATGAGACAAACCTTTATACTCTCTCCTTATTTATCCAACTGATATGCTGAATATATATTGAGTGGGAAGCTGCATTTGGAAGTTAGGGCCAAGAGGGCATGGTCTGACTGTGGCAAGGGAATGATGTTAACTTCCCCCAAACCCAGATCACTATGCTAGTTTCCTGAGGCAAAAACCAGATTTAGTGTGTGACCTCCATAAGTTGGATCAGGTCCATGGTTGCCATGGTGGCCATGAACTCCCAAGCCACCTCTAATCCCGAGCCCAATGAAGGCTGGTTGAAATCTCTCAGGACCATAAATCTGGGGACCTCCACTGGCAACTTGGCCACAGAGTGAAGGTACTCAGGCAGAGATGCTGCTACGCTGCAGGGAGGAAAGTAAGCAAGCAGCAGACGCAACTGGTCCCTATGGCTCAGTCTCACAAAGGGAATTTCACATCCAGTTATGTCTGGCACAGTGGCCTTAAATGCCATCAGAGACTCACTGTAATGGTATATGAGAATGACCTTGGGAGACTGGTGGAAGAGCTGCAGACTAGACAACAGTCAGACAAATGGCAGCTGAATCCACAGAAGAAATGGGGGCATGGCAAATATCTCAGAAGGGACCTTCCCTAGTTTCTTGGACTGTAAAGGCAAGGGGAGAGAGATGTACTTTTAGAATTGCAAGATTCTGTTAATATATCCTTACAATAAAGTTAGAGCTAGTACTTCTGAGTATGCTGCTCGTCTGGACTGTTTTGCACAGCTGACACTCATGGATAACAACAGCCATACACACCCCTTGCCCCGAAGTCATGACTGGAACCACACCTGAAACCCAAGAGGGCACATTTCAGAGAGGGGGAGTCCCCTTCAGTGCCCTACCAGATTTTGGTAATGCAAACCAGGTCAGCCTTCTCATCCACAATCAAATCATATCATATACATGGGAAGTCATGTATATTGAAGTAATAAGTAAAATATTTAAAATAAATGTTTAAATAAAAGTGCCGATCTAATAATATTTGACCAGTTCAGACATAGCTTGTTGTTCTTTGGAGATTGTTCCTTACATAAATGGAATTTCAAAGTCAGTATGGTTCTGAAGAATATGTTTTCTGGAATTCAGATCCTCATAATCCTAAAATAATTTATGCAGATAGTTGCATGACTTCTGGGAACATTTTGATTAGAGGTTCCCTCCAATGCCTTTTGAAAAAGCAGTGTAGTGGTATGAAGTTGGTTGCATGCTACTTATGTTGAGCAGTTGAACTGTGATGCTCTTTCATCTCTTTAATATTCAACATTCAGAAGCAGTTTTTAAAAAGTGAATGTCAAGTTCCATAACCTTTTCTGTGTTATCAAAATTGAGTGTTAGTTTTGGTGGCATAGAAAAGCTGCTCAAATCTTTAATGCTTTTTTTCCCCTTTAGTTGAGTAAAGGTTCTTCCTTTTATTGGATTATCTCTTCTGTAGCTAAAACTCCTGCCAATCACTTAGTAATTTGATAAAGTGCCCTTAAATCTTCTCTTATTTCTGCCATTTCCACTTCAAATGTCTGCCTATCAATAAATGGTTTTCTATCCTCTCTGATCTTCTGAATGATGTCATCTTTTATTCTTTCTTCCGTTCTCTTCTTAGCCCCATTTTCTTTTTATGTAACATTGCAAAACTGCTCCTTCCTTCTTCTTTTACCAAATTCAAGGACAGTCATTATAGGCTATTGAATTGATTTTTCAAACACTTTCCATATTATTAATAGAAATACAGAAAAGTGTTGAAACTGATTTATGAAGCATATTTTTATTTATTTTATTTATTTATGGAATAAATAAATAAATAAATAAAGTTGTCTCTTCCATGTACTAGAATCATGTTCTATTTGCAGGCTATATGGAAAAAGAAGCGGTTTAGCTTCAACTGTACCAATTTAATTGAACTCTACTGGCCACCAGTCTATAAATATAATAAATCTGTGTTTTTTCAGGCAAAGCTTCATAACAGAAATAGCCAACATCTAGAACTACAGGTTTAGACACAGTTGAAAATGTTCTTCCTATCTCATGAAAAGAAAAGATGATTTTGTTCTAATACCATGTACAGAATCTGGCTGGACTTTCAGTGAAATGTTATTTCAGTACTGAAGATAACATAGTATCCCTCATATCTGAGGATAATCGGCTAGCTTGAGGCCTACTAGCAACACAGAAAACTCTGAACACTTCCAGGGTGCAAGCCTTTGCATCTCCCAGTATAAAAGAACCCTGTTTGATCTGGGCTGTTTGACTGTGGATATATTCCCTGTCTTTCCTTCTCTGCAACTGTTTTTGTGGATATATTAGCTCAGGCCAAGTGAGCTGGCTGAATTGAACCAAAGTTGGAATGGGGAGGCTGGGCAAAATAAATTTTCATTCAGAGCAACTCCCCTTTTTCTTTAGCAGGAGATGAACTAGAATAAAATGTAAAATCCTTTGCCTTTTTGCTGTTCTGTTTATTTGTCATAGTTCCCAGGCAGTTTATATCTTCCTGCTCTTTGGCAGGGGATGAACTGGTATTCAAACTGCGAGGCTGCTTTGTTTTTTGGTTTTGCTGCTTCCTTCTTCTTCTCCTTTTTCTTCTCCTCCATTTTAAAGACATGAACTACCTTGAAACAGAAGTTATTTAACCACAGAAGAAAGAGGTACATGCTGGTTATAATGTCATTTCATTATCTGGTAGTTCATCTTGTACATTTTCCTCTTGAAACTCTACCTATCCTGCCATTGCTCCCCAACCCTCACATTCTGCTGTCTGAGGTTGCTACCTCATTCTGCCCAATGATAAAGCCCACTCTGTATAAACTCATATATTCAATGAAACATGAAGAAGTATAATATTAGCATATCATAATTTTGAATGCATTACAAAATATTTGCCTTAACAGCCATGTCTTAGACCTGGCCATTTAAAACCTTACACTAGGTAGATGCCCTACAGTTGAAACCACACAGCCGGTAGGCAATTATTCCTAATCTACTGTCTCCAGATATGATAGACTAAAATCCTCATTATAGATAGGTTATCCAAATCATTGTTTGGGTCTAGTATTTATACATCCTTTTTAATTATTAAAACATCTGCCAGTTTCATTTGTATATTCAATATTTTAGCTTTTTCCATATCCTTCTTGTAGCTTGTCATTTTCAAATCCACATTTGAATCAATTTCAGTCTTGTCCAGTAAAACATGTTCCTCTTCCATAGCATCATTTACTCTATCAATAATGGCAGAAATCTTTAAAATTAGCTTCTGACCCCATTGTTCCAAAATATCTCTTGATATATCCATTATTTTACTTCCTTCTGGTGCCCTCTGGTGTCCAATCTTCAAAGTCTCATCTTGTCTTGTCATTTTTCTTCTGATTGCAAAAACATGGATAGTTTCCCATGGGAAAGATCCATATATTTAATTTCAAAATGTTATTAAATCCATCTTGACCCTTAGTCTGTT